ATGACGCCAGCCATGCGCTGCCTCGTCCTGCAGATCGCCCTCGCCGCCACCCGCGCCCTGTCGCTCGCGGGCGCGGGCGCCAGTGGTCTCGAGGCCCCGCGCGCGCGCCCCGTGGATGCTTTCGGGAGGCTTCGGAGGTCTTTGTATCTTGGCTTGCCCTCCCGGGGGGGTGGCCCTCGTCGCCACGGCTAGGTCCGCCCGCGAGATGCTGAGCAGAACGTGCCCCAGGACAGGTCAGAGGAGGTGAGCTGTTTTTATGGGGGGAAGTTTTTGGGGGAGGGCCCAGTCCTCTGGCGGATGGTTTCGTTCAGGCCTGGTGTTTCCCACATCCCAAGGTTGGTGACCTTGTTCCCCATATCTGAAGTGTGAGATCTCGTTATTGGTGGCGCGCCTCCGCCTCACCCTCACTCCCGCCTCCTCCATTTCATGCTCAGACTTATCTACAAGTCCTCATTCATATTCAGGCTTATTTTAAATTCGTTCATATGCAGACTCACTTGCACACAGACTCACTCACAGTTCAGGCTCACATGCCCAGGCTTATTCGTTTTCATTTACACCCAGGCTCACTCATTCACATGCTTACACCCACTCACTCATATCCAGGCCTACTCACACCCAAACTCACACTCAGACTCGCTCATGCTCAGACATCGTCGTACTCATCACTCACACTCAGACTCTCTCGTATACAGAGCCCAATGGTCGTCGTCATGAAGCAGGCATGTCGCTTGGGCCTCCCAATGGGGACCCGCCAGGAGGTATGCCATTGGCGCTTTGGCGCCCAAATTGTGGGGAGGTCTCAAGTGGCATGGCCTCTTTGGGGATGGAGACGTGTTTCTCTTTCATAGCTACATCAGCCTTCGCAATGCAGTAGGCATGTCAGTTGGCCCTCCCAATGGGGGAGCCGCCAGGTGGGAGGACACTGGCGCTTTGGCGCCCAGTTTGTGGGGCGCTCTCAAGTGGCATCGCCGCTTTGGGGATAGAGACGTGCTTGCATGTCATAGCCACACTGGCCATCGAGATGTAGCAGGCATGGCATTTTGGGTAATCCAAGGGAGAGCTATCAGAGGGTACGACGCTGGCCCGTTCACGCCGTGCTGACGTCTCAAGTAGAATGGCCGTTTTTGTTCGAGGGGGGGTCGCGATGTAGAAGGCGTGGCTCTTGGGCCTCCCAATAGGGGAAGTGCCAGGGGGTGTGCCATTGGCCCTTTCGCGTTCAGATTGAGGTAACGTCTTCGGTAGAGTGGCGGTTGTTTTTGTTTTTCGGGTGGGGGGGCGAGTTTCGTTTCAGAGCCACATGGGTCATCGCGACAGTGTGCCGAAGTTGGCCGGGGGGACCCCACATGGTCGCCCCCACTCGTGCCGCATGTGGACGTGTGCGGGGTGTGCCAGCATGGGCAGGGGGATGCCACACGGTCGCCCCAACTTGTGCCGCAGATGGCGCTCCTCATTGGCGGGCGACGCTATACAGTCGCCCCCACTCTTGCCATAGGTGGAGCTCCCTACGGGGCTTGAAACGCGTGATGGGCATGCCGAACTAGGCAGGGGACGCCATACGGGAACCAACTTGCATGCCCACGGCGGTCAAACGCATGGTAAGGCGAAGGAGTGAGAGGTGAGGTCAGGAGACGTGCGGCGCTGCGGATTCAAAGCGAACGCACCGCTTTCGCACAGGAAGATTCGGAACAACTCGTGAGGAGAAGTCTGGTTCGGGGGAAGGAATCGGGTTTTGTCTCACAGATTGGAGCAGCAGTCCACCCGAGCTCTGGGTAATTACTTCACTGGGGTGTCTGTCAGCAGCTGCGCCGGGACCTCTTCTTAGGCGGGGTAGCCCACCCGCTGCTCGGGAGCCCCAGCACGCCTTCCGGGAAGGGGCCAGGGAGGTGATCGGTCCCTTCCGAGCAGCCCCCCTGCCTCCTCAGAAGGCCCTGCCAGCCTTCCCTCGGCCCACCTCCTGCACGCGCCGCCGCCACCATGCCTCGTGGGCGGCAACTCTTCGTCGTCTCCTCCACCTGAGCCCAGGGGAGTGGGCCTTCTGTCGAGGGGCCGGGCTTGTGGGTTCCATCGTCCCATATGCCAATTTGCCCGCGCAGCTAGCCTGAGGCCGGCGTTCCCCAGTATGAGTACTCTTCGCGTTAGCGTGGTGCTTCGCCCTCTGTCAGCCACGCGCAGATGGGGGTGGGGGGAGGGGGGAGGGCTTCTTAGAAGCACCCCTGCTTCTTAGAAGGCGCGGGCCTTATCTATAGATGTAAGGCCGGCGCCTTCTAAGAAGCAGCCTGCTTCTAAGACGCCTTCCCCCCTCCCCCGCCGTCTTGTGAGCGCCGCCAACTCTGAGCACCTCGTCGTCATCTGGAGCCCCTGGAGCCCGCTCGGGGCGCGGCGCCGACGCCTGCAAACCGCCGCCCCGTCCTGTCCGCGCGCGGAGGGCCAGGTGCGCGCGTCGGCGCGAGAGGCTTGTCGTGACTTCGACATCTCACGCCGGCTCGCCGAGCCCCCCCCCCTCCCTCCAAGGAGGAGGAGGAGGAGGAGGAGGAGGAGGAGGAGGAGGAGGAGGAGGAGGAGGAGGAGGAGGAGCTCCCGCTCCCCGAGCTCCCTCTCGCGGGCGACTCGTGGCCCCCGCTCCCCGAGTTCCCCCCCCCCTCCCCTCCCCTCCCCGGCGGCGGCAGGGGGGAGGGGCGACTTCGGGCGGGAGAGGCGGCCGCTCGCGAGGGGCTGGTCGATGGTGTGTGATCGCACAGGCCAGCCTAGCTCCTTGTGTGTTGGGTGATCACCTCGGGTGTGGTCACACAAGGTGATCAGCCACCACCTCGAGCAAGGAGGCGCTCCCCTAGGGGGTCCACCCTCCTTGCTCCATCCTCCTTGTTCCTCCTTGCTCCTTAGGGGGCGGAGCAAGGAGGATGGACCCCCTTAGGGGGGCCAACCGGAGGCACACAGCTGGAGGATGGACGCCCCGCCCGTCGCACGTCCCCGAGCTGGGCGCCACGCTTCTGCTCCGCAGGGGGTCCCACCGAGTGGTGGATTTGCGTCGCCAGATCCCCCGTCTCGGCGGCGCGCCGAGGGGAGGAAGCTGAGAGAGGGAAGGCCTTCTCAGAAGGCGACAGGGCACCTCAGACGCCCCCCCACTCGCCTTCCGAGAAGCCGTCTGTGTCTTCGGAGAAGGCTCAGAAAGCTTCCCATAAGACTGGAGGCCTTCTGTCGCCGAGCGCGTTCCACTACTCGCAAAGTGCCAATCGCAAACGTCCGAACCCAACATGTCTTCGTCTCGGTAGTGCATCGCACGTGCCTCGCGGCGGATCCAGGCAGGTCATTTGCGAGAAGTTGCTCTGCGAGTCGCGGAGCGCGCTCTGAGCCCTCTGAGAAGGCCCGCCCCGTCGGCAGGCCCCTCTGGGCGCGCCGCCGACCGCTGCCCTGGCCGTCCTCCGGCAGCCGTCTGCCGCCCGAGCCGCGCGGCCCAGGGAAGGGGCGCGGCGGCCGCGAGCCGTGCCCGGCGGCGGCCCCCTTCGGCAGACGGGGGGTGGTGCGCCTCGAGACTGGAGCTGCGCGGGCCGGAGACCCCTCCTGCTCCTCCCTCCTCCTCCCTCCTCGTCCTCCTCCTCCTCCTCCTCCTCCTCATGCTCCTCCTCATGCTCCTCCTCCTCCTCCTCCTCATGCTCCTGCCCCTCCTCCTGCTCATCCTCCCTCCCCTCCCCTCCCTGCCCATCCCTCCCCTCCCTCCCCTCCCCTTTCCCGCCCCCTTCTCCCTCGCTCCCCTCACTCGCTCGCTCTCTTCCTCCCTCCGTGCCTCCCTCCTATCCCCTCTCCTCCCCTCGCACTCCTCTCGCACTCCTCTCGCACTCCTCCAACGGAGTGTCCCTCCGCCGACGCATCAGTGGCCAGGCTACCTGCCACGCCGCGCTGGGCAGGCAGGCCTCTTGTACAATCGGAGGGTCGTGCATCCATATGCACCCAGCAGGCGTCAAGTAGGAGTGTAGCCCCCAAACGCCCTTTATCTTACGTTACCTCTCATTTCCTTTCCCTTCCGTACCTTACCTTACCTTACTTCATCGTATGTACATGTACCGTTCTTTCACACTAACATTACATTTAGCGTTGCATATACACTTACCTCTACATCTACATGTATAAGTACCTCCACAGTTGCATTTATATATACCTTTGTCTTTACCCCTACCTCTTTCTCGACCTCCACCTCTACCTTTACCTTTACCTCTACCTGTACCTTTACCAGCACCTGTACCTTTATTTTATTTGACTTTGCCTGACCCACATCGCCTCAATTTACCTTCCCTTGCCGTACCTTAAACTTCCACCGTGTCTTTACACTGGTACTACTTTGCCTTACCTTTCGAGGAGGAGGAGGAGGAGGAGGAGGAGGAGGAGGAGGAGGAGGAGGGGGAGGAGCCTTCCAAGTTCCTCTTCGCGTGTCCCTACTAGAATAGGTCTTCGTTGCGGGAGCCGCACCATTTGAAGACAACCGTCGGATAAGCCGCAATCGCGCCAAAACGCCATTCTTGGAACTTCGCCTCCGCGAGTCGACGTGACTGTTTCGTCTTGACAACCCGGAATCGAGACCGAACACCTTTCTGGGGACATCACCGCGAATCAACGCGACTGTTGCGTCCTCATAATCCCCAGTTGAGTCAAGATATCGTTATTGGGACTTCAGGTATAGAAATCCTTCAAACCGCTGCAAGCTTTTGAAACGAATGTGCGCGGCGCGAAGGCGTGAGCCGCCTTCCATCCGTGAAGTTGGTGCAAACTCACAAGACGAATGTGCGCGACGCGAAGCCACGAGCCAGATTGAAAATGACCCGGCCTCCATGCGTGAAGTTGTTGCAAACTCTTAAGACACATGTGCACGGCGCTAAGGGCATAACCACACTGTTGTAAGGACCGACCCTCCGTCCGCGTAGCTGCCCCAAGCTTGTAAAGCGAATGTGCGCGGCTCTCAGGCGAGAGCCACATTTTGAAAACGGACCGCCCTCCATTCGTGACGCTGCTGCGAACTTTCAAGTGTCAGGATCCTGAATGGCGAGGAAGTCTCAGGCGAAACGCCCAGCCCGCCCCAACGACACGTCTGGGGGTGCGATAGGGAGGATTTTTTGCATAATGTAAACGGATGGAGTATCGAAAGCTGGGCGAGGGCTGCTAAAACCGTGGCTGCTAAAACGGCCCTCCTGGAAGGAAAAAACAACTTCCCGGAATGAGGCGCGGCACGCGAAACAGTCAACGGGCTTCTTCCCGGAAGGACGAAGACAACTTTCCGGAGGTCGATTTTAGCAGCCACGGATTTATCAGCCCTTGCCCGGCTTCCGAGAGGAGAAGGAGGAGGAGGAGGAGGAGGAGGAGGAGGAGGAGGAGGAGGAGGAGGAGGAGGAGGAGGCCCTGCCCTGCCCATGCGCTGGATCGCCCTTCGTTCGATCACCGCCGCCTGCTGAAGAGGCCGCGGTACGGTCGTGCGCCCTTGCCTCTGAAGGCGATGGCCGTCTGCGCGGAGTTCCCAGACTGGAAGAGGCGGCGGACCCTGTCTACCGGGTCCGTCCGTCGTGTTGCCATCCTGGGCGGCACCCACGGCAACGAGATCACCGGCGTTCACCTGGCAAAGCACTTCATGAGAACACCCGCGGAGGTCACGCGGCCCTCGTTCGAGACGGAGGTGTTCATCTCCAACCTGGCCGCGGTCGAGAAGAACACTCGCTACGTCGAGGAGGATCTGAATAGATGCTATGCTCTCGCTGACCTCGTCGATAACGGCAAGGCCGCGGCAACTCTCGAGAGAAAGCGAGCCCGCGAGGTAGACGTCCTCCTGGGGCCGAAGAGCGCGCCCGATCCACGCTGCGACTTCGTTCTAGATTTGCACACCACCACGGCATCAACTGGCATCGCATTAATGATGGCGCCCAACGACGACTTCGGCCACGAGCTCGGGAAGCACCTCATGACACTCGACGAGAGCGTCGTCATCGTCGAGTGGAACCCGCTGAACGACTGGTGCGTGTGCCCGTCAATCGGGCGCAGCGGGATGACGTTCGAGATAGGGCCCTGCCCCTGGGGCGTCGTCGTGCCAGACTTAAGTCGGGCCTGTCCCTCTACAGGAGGCATATTCAAAAATAGCAAAAAAGTAAAACATAGTCTTGGGACTATTTCTTGGGTATTTTTCTGACCATGTTGGGGTATGTTTGGCTATCTTTTATTGTTCGTCCAAAATCCCCCTGTAGGGGGACATGCCCGACTTAATGCCAGACCTCTTCGCGCGCTCCCGGAGACTGGTCCGGGCCATGCTCGACTACATCGAGGCCCACAACACGCGCGTGGCCGCGGGCGCGACCGCGCCCGTGGCGGCCACGGTGCCGGTGTACCGGGCGATCGGAGTCTCGATCGATTACCCGCGCAACGCGGACGGCGAAATGGTCGGCATGGTGCACCCCAGCCTGCAAGGGGGGGACTTCAAGGAGCTGAAGGACGGCGACCCGCTGTTCATGCTCTTCAGCGGCGAGACCGTGCCGTTTCGCCGCGAGGAGCACAAGGTCAGCGCCACGCACGAGTCCGTGAACGCGCTCTTCGTCAACGAGGCCGCGTACTACGAGAAGAAGATGGCGCTGATGCTCTGCACGCGCGCCGAGGCGCAGTTCTCCATGATGGGCGGGAGCGCCTAGCGCGCAGGTCGCCATCGGACGCCCGTGGCCGCGCCGCCCGGAGCGCGAAGCTCACGGGCAGCTCTGGGCGGGGTCGGATCTGCGTCGGAGCAGTGCTCGGGCTGCTGCTCCCCCGAGCTCCCGTGACAGGTCCTGTGTGTCCCAACTCCCTCCTCCTCCTCCTCCTCCTCCTCCTCCTCCTCCTCCTCCTCCTCCTCCTGCTTCCCCCTACAGTAGGCACCTCAAAGTAGGACTCGGCCTGCCAGCAGGTGCCCCACGGCAATTCGTCGTCCCCCGATGGCCCAGGGCCCCACAGAAGTGCTGGGTGCCTCTGGGGCCCTCCAGAGATCGACGAAGAGGGCGCCTGAGGATTTCTTCGCGCCTGTGTCCACTGCGGTCCCCCCCCCCTCCTGGATTCCACCCCCTCTCCCTCCCTCCCCCTGCTGTCTGGGGGCGGCAGCACCGATCTTGGCCCGGCCGGCCCCGGGACCAGGGCCGCTGCGGGCTGCGCACGCCTCGGCCCGGCCCAGGGGGGTCACGCCTGCGACGGTCCCGCGGGCCCAGGACGCGCCCTGGCCAGGGCCGGTGCGCTGGTGTGCAGTGGGCGTCCGCCTGCTCCGAAGTGGGGCCCTGACCGCCACTGCGGGGGTCCGCGATCTGAGGTCGGGGGCGGAAAAGAGGGGGGTGATGACTAGGGGGGGGTGGACATCATGGCAGGGGCCATGATATCTCCGCAGATTTCATGGCGCCTCCTCTTATTTCATTACGTCCCTGGCCCCCCCGCTGGGCCGCGCACATGCCGCCAGTCATGATTTGCACCCCCCCCTCTTGGACACCCCCCTCTTGGCCGATCCCGATCTCAGGGGCCCCCGAAGGCTCAAGAGGTGCGGGGAGGAAGGGTGAGGGCAGGGCGAGATGGGGGTCGAGCCACAGGGTGGGGTGGCTTGGATTTCGAGGAGGGGATCGATTACAGAGCTGATTTGCCTCAGAGCTGCTCCCCCCACCGGATCCACGAAAGGTACGTCGAACGTTCGTAGATTTACGGGACGCTTTACATTCGATTGCTTAATTTACCCTGGACTTGCTCCCCCCATCGAATCTACGAAAGATGCATAGAACGTTTGTAGTTTTGCGGAGCACTCTGCATAATTTGTCGTAGGCTCCACGGGGAAATCAATTTTGGGGTCAATGAGTTCTGTAGTCGATCCTCGTCCTCGAGTAGTGGGTGGGGCGGGGGCACTGCCTGAGGGGGAGAAAGAGCTCCGCCCGGTAGCGGGGGTGCCCTCCTCCCGGCGTGCCGCCCCGTGGACGTCCCGGGGTCGTTGACCTGCTGGTGTGCCCGATATTTTTGTGCATTGCGGTCAGCCCGCATAATGAAGATGGGCAACCTTCCCAAGGATACCCTTTCGGACCATCCTTGGCCACTCTCGTTGGCCGCGCCCCGCTCGAGAAGCTTCGAAATGGGCGTCCAAGGCCCTTGCATCCTTATCGCGCATCCTTCTGACACGGGCCGACAGCAAAGTTTCTCATGTTTTTCGCGCTTCCTGGCCCAGGTAGATAGTTTTAGGCGGACTGCGGCCATTTTCTCGGTGTGGTGCGAACGAGCATCCGTACCAGCTTCTAGTTCTGACTGTTCGATTGCCTGTCGAGCATCCCCCGACGAAGCCGCCCCATCATGCATCGTGGGCGGCTCCTTCTCCTCTGCCCCACTTCCGTCTCCTCATCTTCCTCCGCCGCCCGCGGCCGGGGATTCGACCCTTCCGGCTGTGTGGAAGAGGATAGTCTTCGAAGGCCAGCTCCATGAACAGTGCTCTCCCCCTCCTCTCCGAGCTTTCTCTTTCTGCCAGTGCCCATCCATATCGTGGTCTTCCTCCTCCTCCTCCTTCATCCCTCGCGGTCGTCGTCGTCCTTCTCCATCCTTTATTTAATCGCTTCGCTCATTCCGCCGGCCCATATTGTCGCACCGTTGTGGGCTAGCCGAGTTTTGGGGCCTCTTGGGGGCCGTTTTGGGGTCTCTTGGGGCCTCTTTTGGGCCTCTTGGGCGCCTCTTGGGGCGTCTTGGGGGCCTCTTGGGGGCCTCTTGGGGCCTTTTTGGGGCCTCCTGGGCGCCTTCTGGGGCGGAGGGCTAGATTTTTCAGTTCTCGGTTCCCCTCTTGAGCCCCTCTTGGGCCCGTCTTGGGGCCTCTTGGTCCGTCTTGGGCGGCACTTGGGCCGTCTTGGGGGCCCTCCTGGGCCGTTCCGGGGCCGTCTTGGGAGCCTCGTGGGCCGTCTTGGAGCGGTCTTGGGGGCCTCTTGGGCCGTCTTGGAGCGTCCGGAAGCCGAAAAAGCCAGAACGCAAAAAACATAGAAAAAACAATGAAAATCAACGATTTTGGCCTCTTGGGGCCCTCTTCGGAGGCCTCTTGGAAGGCCCTTGGGGCGTCTTGGAGGCCTCTTGGGCTGTCTTGGGGCCCTGTTGGGCGTCTTCGGGCGATCTTTGGCCGTCTCGGGGCCCTCTTGGACCGTCTTGGAGGCTTCTTGGGGACCTCTTGGCCCGTCCTGGGGCCCTGTAACAGAACTCCGGCATCTCTGGCCCGACCTTGCCGGGACCTTGCCGGGGACTTGCCGGGACCTTGCCAGGGTACTTTTCGTCCGGGGACCCCCAGGGGCCGCCCCGCGCGCGCGAACTAGAAATACTGTTAACCAGGTACCGGAGATCTTAGCACGCCCTGGCCCGTTGGGCCGGCGAATTCTTACGTGTATCTCCTTTCTGCCGCACCCCCAGACGTGTGTAGGGCGGTCCGGGCGCTTCGCTTGAGAATTCTCATCCTTTTACGACCCTGCAGCCTGAAAATTGTAACAGCTTCACGAATGGAGAGCGGGTCGTTTTCAAAATGTTGCTCTGGCTTTATCGCCTCGCGCATTCGTCTTGAACATGCTTTACAGTTTCACGAATGGAGAGCGGTTCCTTCTAGAATCTAGCTCTCGTCTTGGCGCCGCGCACATGCGTTCGAACAGTTTGCGACACTCTGAAGCATGCAGGACCGCTCTTTTTCAAGAAGTGGTCCTCGCCATAGCGCCACGCACATTGGTTTCAAACGCTTGCAACATATTCAAGGATGGAGGGTGGCTCCTATTCAAAGTGTCGCTCTCGCCCCAGCGCCTTGCACATTCGTTTCAAAAGCTTGCGACAGTTTCAAGGGTTCGTATGGTTGACGTCCAAGATCGGTGTTCTGGCACGACTTTGGATTGTCAGGGCGCGACAGTTACGTTGATTCGCGGTGTTGAAGTCTCAGGAGTGGTGCTCTGGCGCCGTTTCAGATTCAGGGCGCAGTCACGGTGATGCGCGGCGTTGAAGTCCCAGGAATAGTGTTCTGGCACGGTTTAAGATTGGCAGGGTGTTCCAGTCACGGTAATCCACGGCGTTGAAGTCCCAGGAATGGTGCTTTGGCGCGATGGAGGACTCCCAGACGGTTGTCTTCTAATGGGCCATCTTCCGCAACGACAAGCAATTCTTGTAGGGATCTAAGATCAGGGAACTTGGAGGAAGGGTTTATCGCAACATAGTTGATGCGTCTTGGGTTTGCACTGGTCATCCTCCTCCTTATGTTCTTTCCTTTTCTTCTCCGCCACGATCCTCCTCCTCTCTCCTCCTGCTCTTTGCACTCCTCCAGAGTCACTCTTTACCTCAAGCCTGGCTGACCCTCTAAATCATCCTCCTCTGCTGACTCCTTCCGCTGCCTCCCCAGCAGATGCCATGTGTCTACATAATAGCATGTGTAGCTCCCTTCGTGTAGCTTGTTCAGAAGATGCCAGCGATGCTCAGTTTATACATGTGGGCGCCCAGGAGGGTGCGGGGGGGATCCCGTACAAAACGACCGTTTGGAACGGAATTTCTTCCTCCGGCGTTTTGAACATGTCTATTACATTGCTGTGAATCCCGCCAGCCGCAGGTTACGGAACGCAATGGCATCGCAGCTGGTCGGGAAGATCAGGGTTCGAGCCGCCAGAGTCTCTCAGCAGATGTCTGTCTTGCTCTGTCCGTGGCTATCCTGGCTCAAGCCTTTGAGGGTACATGATCAGGTCTACCGGTATCGCTTCTTGGTGCTGCGATGTCGCTGGCATCGGCGCACGCTGGTACACCGCCTCTGTGGTCAGCTCGTGCCCCGTTCCGCCCGCGTGCCCGACGCTGACCTGCGCGCCCCAGCCGGCGTGCCCGCAGGTCACCTGCTGCGGCTGGTTGATGGGCTCGGGCGCGCCAGCCTCCAGCAGGTCCGGGCACGAACATCGTGTTCTGCGCCGTGCGTTGGCGATGAGATCGACGGGCTGAACTTGCCGACCTTGACGCGCCTCGAGTACATCAATCGTGACTGTCAGCTCATCGAGACGGCCCACCGCGACGACCCCGTAAGCGTGCCAGGGAACTCAGCCGACATGTACATGGGCGAAGACGAGGAGGCACCTGTACATGTACCTGCACAGGGCACCAGCGTCCGCCAGGTGCCGTCGCTCCGCGCCCACGTCGCCACTGAGCTGTCCGAGGAGGCGGCCGTCGAGAAGAGGAGAAAGGCCCGCAAGGCCAAAGCGGCGGCCAAGGCAAAGGCCAAGTCCGCCGGGGACAAATCAACAGTGGAGAGATCGGAGGCGGGCCAGCCCTGCGAGCGCTCACCCTGGCTCGCCCGCCTCCATCGACCCTTTCAGCCAGGACGACGGCGTCGCGAACGTCGGTTGGGCCTGGCCTGATCGTCGTCGAAACGTCGTCCAATTCGAGCCAGCGGCAAAGTCGGCCGGAGTGGAGCGGGAATTTTCCCCCTTGCCGCTCCTGGGCCCGGAAAGGCCTTGCAGGACAGGCAGCGGATCGTCCAGGGCGGCTCGCCGCCGCAGCAGCCTCCGCCGGCGCGCGTGGGAGGGCGCCGACGGGATGGCAGGCGAACTCCCGGCTCGGGCGCGCCCGTCCGCCAGGCGGGGCTCCGACGCCTGCTCAGCATTAGGCGCGCAGCGATTTGCTGAGCAGCGCTCGCGCTGCCAGGCAAGATTTTGAA